TTACTCAAGCACTAAAATACTCAAACTCACTTTAGAAGGCCTCTTAAATTTTAAGGTATCAAAAAGTAGGTTTGTTGGAGCAGATCATAAAAGCCATCCTTCGGTGATTGCATGATTTGTGATGAAAAGTGCTAAAGATGACAGGTGGGTGGGTGTCATTCAGTCTAGACATTTTGCTCCCCATTTTCACCTTTCTTGTTTGTTTAGGTTATGTATTTAGACTCTTGGCATGAAGAGAGATTGTCTTATTACTGAAACAACTATGCATTTTATAAAGTTTTGCCAATTTCTTAGGAAATTAAGTAGATTAAAAATAAATAAGATCCCGAAACCACCTACATGATAATTATGTCAAATCTGTTGTGTATTCCCTATGTGATAGAATCACAAGGAATCTTAAACAGGGGTAGATGAGAAAGAAGTGTTACCCATGTTTTGATTCTGACATATCCCTTGATCTCTTGGTAGGAGAGGAAGCCAAACTCTTACAGGGCACATAATAAAGGCTGTCAGGGTTAAAGTAACCCCACACACTGCAAAGTGGGTAGTTCTGGGTGTCTGTAAAAACCTGGAAGAAGAGGAAACCAATAGACTCTGTGTGAACTTACTGAGGGTCAGCTCTGCATTAGGTGCCTGAGGATTAAAGACAGGTTCTGAAGCAAACCTGAGCTGAGGAGGATTCTTACTGATCAGTAGCTGTAATTCTTTTAGGAAGGCAGTGTTTGTTTTTCAGAGCTATTTTAGGTAAGCATTCTTTTCTTTTCATCAGGCAGTATAGCTGATGGTGATTGATTTGAAAAACTACATATGCCTTAGGGGTGTACCCCTTCCCCGCCCTCTTTAGGGAAGGATGCAAATGCTGTGTCTGCCACTCAGCAGGTTTAATGGTTTTCAAAAATGTGATCATAACTATGTCAGGAAAATAATGTAAATTGCAAGGATTTGGAGAGAGATGTATAAACTGATACAATGAGTAATGAAATACTAGAGAGAAAGAGGGAAATAGGTAACTGAGCACTTTTAGGAATTCTTGGGTCACTCGTCCAGTATTGTTTTAAATGTCTGAATGTGATCTGTCAGCTTTGTGTTTTTAAGAGAGTTTTCTGTGGTTGACTAGATAATTTTGCAAATGTAATTGTCCTACTGAGCTGACACTCAGTCCTGTTCTTTCTGAGTCCAGGCCTGCATTTTCTGGATGCTCAGGAGTGTTTCGCATGTGGAAAAAAGAAACTCTTATGTCCTTCAACAGTTCCATATGTGTAAGAGTTTAGTGGCAAACTTCTGGATTGGAAAAGCTCAATAATAAGTTCCTAATCAGAAGATTGTCTGCAGGATCCTGCTGTGCCCAAAAGTGATTTCAAAGCACTCATTTAATAATGTTTCGAAAGGACATTTTAACTGAAATGGGGTAATTTACTTGTATCTGTAAAAATGAGAGTTGACCCTGTTTTGAAAGAGGGGCAGTAGTTGATAGAATCGTTCTGTGACAAAACTTGTATCACCTTGGAATGACCAGTCTTGGGTGGAAAGTAAAGGTGCAAATGACATTGCAGCATTTAGTGCTGAGGGGATTTTTTTGTTTGTTTTTGTTTGTTTGTGGTTTTTTAATATTGCTAATGTGGTGCATGACACAAGTGACTGTTTTTTTCACTTTTTTGTAAACCAGGAGCACACTCTGTGTTTCACAGAGGGACTTGTGTAAAGTTCCTGTTGCTTGATCTTGAGCAGATCCAGTTGCTCTTTTTTTCTTCTTATTCCAGGATAAGGTTTGCATTTTGAGGGATTTGCACTCATTTCCTATAGATACAAAGTTAATTTAAAGGAGAAGTTGCTTGTAGTTCCAGGATACATTTTTTAGAAAAGCTACTAATTTGTGCACCGTTGAATTAAGGATAAATGTCTTCTTCCTGGTGGCTCACTCAGGGACTAGGAAGTTCTGAGTAGGTAGGGTAGGGTTCAAATTTATGGTTCATAGTCTGCTTTTAAACTAGGTTGGTTTAGTTCTTCAAAAATCTTGCTTTCATAATTTGATTTCTGACATCTTATATGCAAGATTCTTCTTAGGGGGATATGCTTGATTAGGGATGTTTCAGGTGGGCTCTGGCAAAAAAAACCCTCAAAACCATTTTCTTGAATTCTCTTTTTCTGTTCCTTTAGTCCTTTTCAGCAGAGCTTGAGTGCTCTTGGAGCAGATATTTAATCCAGATGTAAAGGGGGCTGAAGTAATGTTTCATGGGTAACTTACTGGAAGTCGAGCACTTGTTAAATACTGAAATCGTGCATCAACAGCAGTTTCTAGTTGTCTGACTTCCATAAGGAGGAAAGGGACGTTTACCTCTGGTGTTAGGGAAGCCCCCATGATTCATCCTTATGCATTTTCAGCACAACTCTTGAGAATTTTAGCATTTCATCTGCAAGAAGTTCAGTAGGAGCACAATACTGTTGGCCTGGAGGCAAAGCCTGGATCCCTGGGGCTTGCTGAACCCAGAGGTAGGACTGGGCACTTCAGACCCTGATGGTGACTGTGGTGTCCTCTGAATTCCTCTGGAAGAGTAAAGTGACCTTCCTTTGAATAGAGGCTTTATCTTCTTAGCATGTAAAGATGAATTCTCCTTCAGCAGTCCATGCTTTCCATGTGCTTGGTTTTATTTGTAACATGAGCTTGGCACGTCGAAATGGTCACTTCAGCTGTTCCTATGGGAAGTTGCTCAACTTTATTGAAGAATGGAAGAGAAAGTCATTGGCAAACACCAGCACTCTCACTGAAAACTGTAGAATATCATGGAGCAAAGTCTCCTTTCTGTAATAACATTTCCCTATATTAAATGAAGGTGCTAAAATTGGCCTGGGCAAGTTTGTTTCTGAGCAGTTTCTCTCTTGCTTTCTTCTTTTTTTCCTGTTCTTTTTAAGGTCTTCTATTCATTTATATATTTTTTTATACTGTTGACATTTTATAAACTTATTAGCAGTACCTTAACTGCTATCTGAAAACATATTCCATCTCTCTTCTTTAATTATATATGCTCATGTGGGTGCTCCCTGTATATTTTAACAGCTACAGTGAAGAAGTTCTCCCTTTTATTTTCATAGTGTAAGTCTTTAGCATTGTATTTAATGTTCTTTTCATGTTTTTATTTTATCCATATACATTGTATATTTGACTGCAGTAGTTACTTTGTTAAAAAATAATGGTTTAAGAGAAGTTCTCAGTTTCCTAATCTTGCATAATATGGTGGTGCTGACCTCAGTGTTTGAAATATGCTTTAACCTTTAAAATGGGGATAGGTACTGCTTGAGTAAAAAAAAAAAAAATCCTTTTTTCCTTTTTTTTAAAGTGTGGTGCATTACAAAACTGTTTCGGTGTGTGTGTGTGTGTGTTCCTGTTCGGGAAAGAAAAGTCATTACCATGTTCAGAACCTAATTATTCCTTTTTGATGAAAAGTTATTAATGATACCTGGAAGAAGTTGAATCTAGAAGGACTGTTTTGGGGTAGGAGGATGTTTTGTGTTATTGTGAATGCCCTTTATAACATAATTACAGAATGTGACTGAAATATGCTTATTTTTAATGTTCTTAAACTTACATTGTTAGACTGCAGTCATATCCTTCAGTTTGTACCAAATTTTTTTGGGGGAGTGGAGGAGGAATTGTATTCTTAAATTGTGGAAGACTTTTATTTTTCAGTGATTTTGTTTGTGTAAGTTGCACGTAAACATTTAAACATATTGCATGTTAATAATGTCCAGATGCCCGAGTTTATTTTTCTACTCTGGGCATGTAAATGAGTCACAGTTTAAAGGGTCAAAATTAGAAATTGGCTTCACAAGCGTTTCAGTGGTGAGGGGAAATTTCTGGGCATTGTTCAGCATGTATGAGTTTACAGAAAAAGGTTGTGAGACTCTGTAGACAGGTGAGTGCGAAGGTTTATTTTTAAGTGAAAACTGTGTGCTTTATTGTTATGTGTATGTTGTTCTTATTTCAATTAAACTCAAGGACTTAAGTTACAGAAATGAATATTCAGGACAGGTATTGAAAGGTATTAAAATTTAGGGACATGGTGCTTTCAGGAAATATATCAACATAAAATAAAATATATCAACATAAAATACATGTTGTTCTCTACTGTTTTAATCTGTACAGTGCTTATAGTTTTTCAAAGAAGGAGTTGCCTTTTTTTATTGTTTGGAAAATGCATACTGTGTAGAAACAATTTTTAAAGAGCAAACACTTGAAAAATCAATACCTTGATGTTTTCTACAGGGAGTCTTTACTTAAAGGTCTTCATTTTTGGGTGGTTCCTAGTGCCATGTTCCTGGGAAAACACAAAACCAGTTTGTGTTCTGGTCTGGTGCAGCCTGTTAGCCAAAGGGGCAAGATGAATCAACCAGAATTTTTAGTGGGGAAGAGGGAGCAGGAATAGTGATTTGAGAAATTGGTTGCTAAGTAGAGCTGATATTCCACTGAGCAGAGCTGTTCTTAGCGCTGATTTCCAGGTTAGTCTTGGTCCTCGCTGCTGAATAAAATGGAAGCTTTTTTGCCCCCACTTGCTTCTGCTTCTCTAGTTACAGAATGAAAGGGCATGTAAAATTGATTTCTCTTTGTATGTCCCTCCTCACCAGTTCTTTAGAAATTACAGGGCATCAGGGAGCATGGTAAATGAGCTACATGATTAAATTTTTAAATCTTACAACAGCTTTGTCCAGGATGAAAATCCCAAAATTTCAAATGATTTCTTTGTTATAGGTTTTCTTTAAAATATTGCTTGATTTACATTTGTAAGATTAATAATAAATATACTTTTGGGTTGACGTTTCATAAAACAAAATTATAATCTTAAGGAATGCATTGCCCACAACAGTGTACTTATCATGGCAGTGTAACTTTTATTAAACCATTTATTATTTTAGTGTTGTGTATTCTGACTCTTAAGGTTTTCTATCTTTTTTCTTCAAAGAAAATGAAACAAAACAAATTGAACATTCATTTTTCTTTCCTACAGCATTATCTGCATACCAGAGGTACTACAGTTTACAATCTGACTACTGGAAGGTCTGTATATGCTGCCTTTTTTTTTTTTCCCTGTTTTAATGTATTGCTGTAAATGTTTGAATTTTTAAAGTAGATGCTGTTCAATGTAAGTTGGGAGTATCTGCCTGCAATTACTCTTTGACATACTAATTGGGTCTTAATGTAAATGTTCACCTATATGTACAATTTATAAGAAATCTCAGTGGAAATACATCTTCACACCATGTGTTGAAAACAGCACTCAATTAAGTTGACAAGTTTTAGATTTAATTTTTTTTTAACCATCATTATCCATTACTTCAGGGTTTTTTTATGCAGCACAGATATTTGGATATATGTGAGTATTGAGAGCATCAGAACCACTTGAAAGCTGCTGTGCAGGTGTTTGACCTGTACTAGGAAAAATGTTCTCAGGTTGATTTTTGTTTTCACAGGCACCAAATTGTTTATATAAGACCTTTTCAGTATTTTAAATAACATTCTTACATAAGATAGAAACAAATCCTGTTAGTATAGCTGCCCTCTCTGTAAGCTCATGTAGAGGTATCAGCACTTCAAATGAATAAAATTGAAAAAGTTCTTATTGTCAAAAATAGTCAGCATTGGTAGATTGTCACATGAAATAATCTGAAGGTCATGATCTAGACAGAGGTGCAGGAAAGCACCTAACACAGTACACAGTTGTGTGGTCTTAAACAGCTGTTTTCCTTAGAAGTGGGTAAATGCATATTTCTGATAGGGAGGGCTAATGGAGACACATCAGTACCTGGTATATCTGGTGTTAGAGAAACAACAGTTTTTGCATTCTTTGCTTTTCATAGGGACTGTCAGAACATTCTAAAAAATGATGTGGCAGCTTCTTCCACTTGGGTATTGGAAAGGGAGAAAGGCAGGGTAAATTAAAGTGAAATAAGTGAAGTGAAATGAGTGTCTTATGGCAGATGGTCCAATTGCAGGGTCCTGGGAAAATGGTTGGTGTTGTCCTGTAACGCCCCTGCTCCAGCAGAAGTTGTGCAAGTGCCATTTTTGCACTGAGCCATTTTGGAATTTAAGTAGTTTCTCCAGAAGTAACCCCTGCAGTTTAAAAATTACAACAATAAAATCATTAATCTGTTCTTACATGCTCTTGGAGAGTTAGTTTAAAGATTGCTGTAAATGAGTGTTGAAATCAATCAATTAATGAAAAATCTATTGTAATAACTTCTGTTGTTTGTGCTCTTTGACATTAAGCATTTCAGAGTAGTTTATGACTTGAATTATTTTTTCCTGGGTTTTATTCTAATGGCTCATTATTGGAAGAAGTGGTAGATGATTAGTAAATTATTTCTGCTGCATTTTCGGAGATTTCAGGGGAAATGTAAATTGTTATATGAATTTCTACAGGCATAGGGTGTTTCAGTGTGGCTCAGAATATTGTCTACAGTTAAAATAAATGCAAACTCGTGAGTGTTCTGCAGTTTAATTTGAAGAGCATGGATGGCAGTAAAATGTGTGATCTGTCCTTGACTTCTTGAAAGGAATTTCTGTTTGTATACAAAGGGCTCATACTCTAACACACCTCTTCATCGTGTCTGTCTCCAGAATTTTACCATGCAGAGATTATTTCCAACAATTCCAGTTGTAAGCATGAGAGCATTTCTTGCAGCTGATGAAACAGCATTTTGTCTTCTACAAATGAAAAAAAAAACAACCAACAACCCAACCAAAACAAAACAACCACCAAAAGAACCCACCAAAAAAACATTACTTTTTCTTCAAGTGTTTCTCCCCTGTGAAGGATCCTGTACTTTGTGATCTCATTTCTTAGAAATGTGTAGTCTAAAGTGGTTTTTTCCCCCATAACCTTAGGAGATTCTATTAATTTTTATATTCACGAAAAAGAACCTCAAAGAGTCCAAAACCATTTTTCAGCTAGTAACTTTTTTTACTGAAACCGGTAAAAATCACAGGTGAATCATATTTCATCTTTTTAATGGATGATGAAGCTATTCTGGAGTTGGCAGTGGGAAGCTGCCTGGATTGGGTCTAGAGAAAGATCTTTCCCTCTTCCCCCCGACTGAGAGGGATTTATTATTTCTTGTCATCCTTAATGCCTTGTGTCTGTAAGTAGTCAAGAGTAGTTAAGTTTGGGGTGTATTTTTGGTCACATTTTTTATGCTGTTTTATTCTACTTTGTGATTAAATTTTTTTTATGAAGAGATACAGATGGCAAAAAACCCCCACACCCCACAGTCACATTTCCATCTTTAACTGCTGTAGATTTTTTTAAAGTTGGGGGTTTTTTTCAGTTCTTACAGGGTTAGATGTCATTGATATTAAGTTGTTGGAATTTGTGATGATAAAGAAAGGAAGAGAAGGGTATGAAGGAAGGGTGATATTTGTGAGCTGTGTGAGACAACTGGGAAATTGGAGAGTGCTGCATCACATGAAGGTTATTATATAAGGCAGGTTTGGAATCAGGAACAGTCTTAACAGACTTGGGCAGTGAATCTGAAATTATGTACTGTCATGCAGTGCAAATTTCTGTGGTTGAAATAAGTGGTCCTGTAAGTTCTTTGTTTAATAAAGAGAAAACTTCTAGGATTGTGAGAGACTTCAGGTTGCTTAGGGTGTAGTTTGGCCTCCTTTTATAGTATTTTTAGCATTTACTACTTTGGGTTTTTTAAGTTCCATGGGGATGGTAATTGAGCATTACTTTCATGCAGTGTTCATTCTATGATGTTCAGTCTACAATTCATCTTTCTCCCCCCCCCTCCTCCCACAATATTTTTTTCTGATGGTCTGAATTTCTTACCAGGTTGTTTTCTGTCAGAATTTGGTGCCTGGATTGTTTTGTTGGTAATACAGTAAGCGTTGTGTTGCTCCTTTGGAACAAAAAGAGAAGGAAAAAACATTTTAGAAAATATATTCTGAATATATACTGTAGTGAGAGAAGTGAAGGTGAAGGGTCCAGGATGGTGCTGTGTTTTGCCGTTTACCAGATTAGTACTCCCTCTGTGCTCACGAGATATTATTTCTTTTCCAAGAAGTAATACCTGCATGGAGAGTTTTGAAAGAGTTGGGTTGCATTGTGCTGTATATTCCTAAATAGACTGCTTTTTGCAGTAATTTGGGCACCCACAGATCAACATAAAATGACTGAGTTTCTGCAATTTTTGTTCTGCACAGGCACTGTGGTACCTTAACTATCTGCATTTTAAAAAATTATTTGACTGGAAATCTGACTAAGTAAATATCTCAACTTGGATAAAAGCTGAGATAACTTTTCATTCTTGCATTCAAGTAGTTTTCTCAATGTTCCTTCTTATGTGCCTATGCTAAAATAAATCTCCCTTCTGTGCAATGTACTTCATTCTGATTTCCTTTTAAAACTCCCCTGTGTCAACATGTTGGGGGAGGTGAGGAGGACTGTGGGGGATGAACGGATGTGAAGGGCAGTTCAGGAGAGGGAGACAACCAGAACTGCAGTTTGTAGGTTTTGATGCTCCTGGGAAAATAAAGATATCAAGTGTAAGTGTCTGCCATGATTATCAGTTTTGACATATTCTGAGGAGGCAGCATTAGAAGCTCAGCAAGGAGTAAGATATTCCTGATTTTATACAAATATGATGGCAGATATCTGGCACCTGTAGAAAGTTATTTTAATCATCTTGTGGTTGTATTATAATGGGCTTAATCATACTGAACCTTTTTATATAATGCTTGGGTTTGGGTAGGGTCGCCCTAACAGAAATTTCGGTGGATTGAGGGTGTTTAAGTGTATAAAATATCTGGGTCTGTTACATTGACATGGTTGTCCAGGGCAGGAGAGACCTAGAAACCTTATTCCACAGATTTGGGGCTGCAGGAAGTTTCAGTGCTCACTAGGGAGATTCCTGGAAGGGTTGTACAGAAGAGCCTGGTTATCTGGTGCTTTGATTAGATCTCATCTGCTTTGGCATGGCACTGCTACTGCAGCCCTTCTGTGTTTTGATAATCTTGATTAAAGAGTATTTGTGGCGTTTGCAGGTCGATGAGTGTTCTCACATTGTCAGTTAGAAATTGCGTGACTGTAGCTGTTGCAACACAGAATAAATAAAACCTTTTGGTACAGGTATATTAGGTAGCAGCGAGTTCCAATGTGCTCAGTCTCTGCAGTGCTTCCATGAGCATCTATTAATGACATTTCTGTGCTTGGGGAATGAATGTGAAGCTTTCTAGGCAGGATTAAATCCGAGGGATTGTGGACAAGTAACAAGGAGCATGAGGACAGCACTGCTGTTGTACCTTATTCTGTATTATTTCATCAAAGAGTAGCATCCTGTGTGGCTTCAAGGCGATTTTATAAAAAGTTATGTTTTATCAGAATAACAGAGGGTACACAGGTACTTAAATACTTCTGTTTGTGTGAATAAAATGAAGGATTGCCAAGGCACAGCATGTAGAAATGCATCTAAGTGAACCTTAAAATGATGGCAGTTACTGTGGAATGAGTTACTCCTGTATCAGGGAAGACTGCCCTGGACTAGGATGCTGGAACTTAGACTGAGAATGCCTGAGAAAGAAAAGAAACCTCAATTTATTCAGCTATACTCAACTCTAGTGTCTCTTTATAGAGTAGTGCTTGGAGTGGATCAGTCAGAAAGTCTGAATGTTCCTTGAAATGTTTAAGGAACACTTAATTAGTGAGCTACATCCTCCGGCATGAATTCAGATATAGACTTCTTGTTAGCTGTTGACTTTGGCTGGAAAGTTGCCTAGAAGAAAAGTAAATCTGTCAGGCACTCCTTATCATGTTATGAAAATGGCCCTAATAAACTTTCTTTTTAATAAAGATTTCATTTATGTGGCCAGGGTGAAAACATCAGAGAGGTTTAGTGAACCCCAGCAAGGATTTTCGAAGACCTATGTCTGTGTTCCAGTGGATTTTAAGAACATCTGGGTGCAAATATGGTGCAAGCTGAATTTACAGTTGCAAGGCTATACTGTAGAAGACTGAATGGTCTAGTAAAAAATAAATAAATAATTTGAGAGGGGGAAAT